GCAGCCCTGACCACTGCAGGTATGACCCTGGTGACCTCCAAAGCACCCCAGATTTAAGCTCTGAACTGTAAGACCCCCACCCCCTCACCAAGAGCATCACTTTGTGTGACCTGGACACCTCAGCACCCAGCACTGCTGGATATGGCCTTGATGAAGAACAAAAAATGAAGGGCTTGGAGAGACAGTTCTCAAGATGCTAGCCTCACATGTGGCAATGCTGGCTCAATCCCTGGCACCACAGATGGACCCTCAAGCACCAGCCAAGAGTGGTCTCTGAGCACAGAGCCAGGACTCTAAACAAAAATTTAAATTAAAAAATAGAACTTGGGGCCGGGGGTATAACTCAATGGTAGAGTACTTACCTTACATGTGTGAGGCCCTGGGCTTACTCCCTGGCACATTCATAATAATAATAAAGATTAGGAATGTCTGAGGTGCGCACAACCATGATTTGGTTACGTGTACACAGTGAAATGGCACTGCCGGCTTGCTAACGCCTCACCACCTCACCTGGTAACAGCACCTGTAGTCGTTGGTGTGAGCAGATCTTTCCATGTTCGTATGGCACCTTTTCTCTTTTTTAAATTTTCTTGTATTTCAAATGCTTATTGGTTTATGACAAGGTGGCATTTAGCTTTATCCCTGCGATGCAGGTGATCGCCACCTTTCTCACCACTAAAGTTCTAGAAACATCCACCCACAAAAAGAGCTCTCTGCCCCTGCCTCTCCCCACCCTGAACTCTCTTCTCCCCACCTTGCTTCCCACCAAGTGTGGGGATAGTTGTGGTTTTTTTTTTTCTTAAGTTTGTTTGCTTCTTAAGTAATTCAAATTCCATCTATGAGAACAAAACCCATTCTGGAATTATCTTTGACTCCCATTATTTTTTTATCCATTTTCTATCCAAGGGCACAGTTTTGTCTTTTTTAATAGCAGAATGTTGAATATGTACCACAGTTTGTTTTTTCTTATGATGCTGGAGGGTTGAACCCATGGCCTCATATGCAAGGCCAATGCTAAACCATTCAGTAACATGCTTGGCCTTCACAATTTTTTTATCCAATTTTCTATCAAGGGCCATTTAGATCGACTCAATTTTTTTACTATTATGAACATATGGGTGCAAATATCTTGTCAAATTAGTGTCTTCATAAACTGGATGAGTGCCTAGGAATTGTTTTGCTGGATCACATTGAATTTATAGTTTTTAAAAAGGAATCTCCAGGCTGGAGAGATAGCTCAGTGGTCTGAGTGCACACTTTGCATGTTTGAAACCTGGGTTCAACCCGGATACTACATAGGCCCCAAGCACCATCATCAGGACAGACCCTTGAGCAGAGTCAGGAATTGTCCTCTGTGCCTCCATGTGTGGCCACAAACAAACAGACCCCCAAAACATAAGGCAATCACTGTGCACCAATTTTCTTTCCCACCAAGAGTATACCAGAATTCCTTGATTTCCACATTTTCAGCCAAACTTACTGTTTCCAATCTTTTGGATATTGACTGCTGTCATCAGTGTCAAGGGATAGCTCATTGTGGTCTGCTTGGCATTTCCCTATAACAAGTGGTGTTGATCTTCCTTCCTTTCTTCCTTCCTTCCTTCCTTCCTTCCTTCCTTCCTTCCTTCCTTCCTTCCTTCCTTCCTTTTTAAATTTTCGACCACAACCAGCAATACTCAGCACTTACTCCTGCATCTACATTCAGGGATCACTTGTGGCAGGGCTCAGAGGACCATATGGAATGTTAGGGATGGATCCAGGGATGACCACACTTAAGGCAAGTGCCTTACCTGCTGTACTATTGCTCCAGCCCCAATGTTGAGCACTTTTCATGTATCTTTGACTGTGTGTATTTGTCTTTGGACAAGTGCCTTTTCAGGTCTTCGCCCTTATTTTATGTGGGGCTCAGGGCTTATTCCTTTCTCTATGCTCAGATATCATGCCTGCTGGTGCTCAAGTGGCATGGGGCAAGGCCCATATCTTACCCCCTTTGTGGTCTCCCCAGCCCAGTTTTCAGTTCTTAGAATTTTCTATGCATATTATCACATCAACTGCAAATAGCAGTAGTTTTACTTCTTTTCCTATTTGAATTTACTTTATATATATTTTTTTCTAACCTTCTGTTCTTACTAGAACTTCCAAATCTATGTTGAAAAGAAATGGTGAGAGCAGACATCTTTATTTAGTTACAGACCTAAAAGCTTTCCATTTTTCACCACTAAGTTTGGTGTTTAGCCTTTATCATATTTACTTATGTTCCTTCTATTCCAAATTGATTGCTTCTGTTTTTTCAATCTGGGAGCCCACACCTGCCAGTGCTTAAGGGGGCGCCACGTGGTGCCAGGGATCAAATCCAGGCCTCTTGCTTCTAAAATGTGCTCCGATGCTCGGAGCTCAACCCAAAAAAGTGTGTGAAGCTTGTTGAAAGCTTTTCAGTATATGTATATGCTCATTTGGTTTTATCTTTTTATTATTATTGGCATGGAATGCTACTTTATTGATTTGCATATCTTCAGCCATCTTTATAACCTTGGTATGAATTTCACTTGCCCAAGATGATATTCATGATCTGTTGTCAGAGTCCATTTCTCAAAATTTTGTGGGGGATTTGTTTTGTTTTGTTTGGGAGCCACACCCAGTGATATTTAGGGATTACTCCTGGCTCTGTGCTCAGGGATCACTCCCTGTGGGGCTCGGGGGACTGTGTAAGGAACTGGGATTGAACCCAGGACCGTCATGTGCAAGGCAAATGCCCTACACACTGTACTATCTCTTTAGCTCCCATTGTTGGGGATTTTTGCCTCTGTGTTCATCAGAGATGTTGGTCTGGAGTTTTATTTGTAACTTTTCTGCCCTGGGAATTAAGGATATTGACCTTGGAGAATATATTTGGGATTTTTTCCCTCTGTATTTTTTTTTTGGAAGGGTGTAAGTAGTTCTCTGAAAGTACATGAGTGAAAAACAACCACAGGCTTTTTTATTCCTAGGAAGAACTTCAATTGCTGTTTTGATTTCAGGATTTATGTCTACTCTGTTTCTTCCTACTTCAGTCTTGGAAGGTTGTATGGTTCTAAAAGTTTGTCCATTTCTGCTGGTTTCTCCAATTTGTTTGCACGTTGATACTCACAGTCATTTCTGAAGGTCGCCTGTATCTCTGCAGTATTAGTTGTATCTCTGCTGTATCTCTACAATAGAACTTCACCTCTTTCGTGCGTGCTTCTTTTATTAGGGTTTTCACTCCTCCCCACCTGGTGAACCTAAGAAGAGGTGTATTGATTTTAGTAATACTTTTAAAAACCTAGCACTTGGTTTCATAGATCTTAATTGTCCTTTTGCTTCTGTTTCATTTGCTTTCTATTATCTGAGGGGGAGCTTGTGCTCTTTGTTGATCTCGTGCACTCTGCCTCCACCTTCCATGCTGAACTTGTGTCTGTCTTTATATCTGATGCAAGATAATTATGTGCAGAGTCACTAAAGATCCTTTGTTTTTCTTTTTTGGAGGGGTGGGGGACTCACACCTAGCGGTGCTCAGAGATTACTCCTCTGGCTCAGTTACTCCTGGCTCTTCACTCAGGAATTGCTTCTTGCGGTGCTTGGGGAACCATATGGGTCACCGGGGATCGAACCTGGGTCAAACACCCTCCCCACTGACCTATCGCTAAGCCCGATACCCATTGATGCATTGAGTTGCTCTCAGTGCCAGGAAGAACCCTGGGCATCCTGCAGAGAAGCATGCAGCGCCAGCCCTGAAGCTTTCTTTGTTTTGTTTTGTTTGGACCAGGGGCTGCTCCTGGTGTGCTGACCAGGCCATGCCGTGCTGGGGACCAAGCCTAGGCCTTCCGCTTGCACAGCACGTGCTCAGCCTGCTCTGCTCACCTCTTCGACTTCTAACAGCCATTCTAGTAGGTCTAAGGGAATATCTCAATGCCCTGTTGATTTGCATTCCCCTGAATCGTAATGTTTAGCACCTGTTTTTAATAAAAAGGTCATGTAAGTGCATTCCTCTGGGCAGAAGAGATAGTGTCTTTAACAGGGGTTACAGACACTTTGTCTTGTGCCTTGCTGGCCTGCTGACCCCGATTTGAATTCCAGGCATCTGAGCCAAGAATAGTCCCTGCACAGCACTGGGTGTGGCCCCCAAGCCTCTCGGCCCCCACCCATGCATTCTTCTGTAGTGTATGAATGTGCATTCTTTCCCCAACCCACATAGCAAGGACTATGATCAATCTTTCATATATTTAATGTGGTAACAATTACCTCATCACTTCTTTGAATGAATGTTTGAACACATTGGCAATTCATCTCGGTTCCTCTGTGATTTCCCTGTCTCCTTTGTCCATACTTCTGAGGAGCTGAGTTGTCTCTTTCTAACGGATGTGTAAAACCCTCACACAACAGAGTTTTCAAATACAGCCAGAGATACTCAAATATATTCAAAGATATGTTCTTTGCAATACACATAAAATCAGTTTGTGTCTTCAGAATAACCATCCTGCTCTGAGAGGGTGCAGTCCTGTGGCCAGGCTCAGGTCACACTGCGGGGAGCACCTCTGTGTGGTAATTTGTGACAGGCCACCCGGGCCTGCGGGCCAAGGCTGTTCCTGCAGCATCTCTCCTTCCTCCTCAGGCTCTGTCACTCCCCTCTCCGGGCAAGCATCCTGCCCTTACTGCCCTGCACTTTCATCAGGCAGAGTAAAGAGTCCATGGCTAGCAGCACTTTAGCCCTCATTGGCTGGGCTGAAGCAGGGACACAGCAAGTCGGGTGCTTGCCATGATCCCCAGCACTGCTGGATGTCAAACCAAAAATAAATCACATTTGTTTTGGCCTTCGACCAAGACTTATATTGAGGAGGGAAAAAATTACTACCTAAAATGCACCCTGAGCACTCCTAGGGGGAATTCAAAGTCCTCAAGGGGTGGTGGAGGGTAGTCTTTTTATGCCTCATCGAGGTGTACATCAGGGGTGTTCATGTTTGCCTGAAACTATTGTTTCTTAACAGTTTCACTCACTGGCTCCGATGTACTATCGAGGATCTGCTGCCGCCGTCATAGTGTATGATATCACCAAGCAGGTAAGGAGGCTTTCCTTGAGAACATGTGTGCCTCTTAGGGGGTTCTGGCTTAAAAACACCAAAGCAGAGATTTCACTGCTTGAGTCATAAAAAGCCACTATTGAGATTTTATAGAATGGTGGTCAAGGATGAAAAATACTATATATGAAGTGTATGTATGTGTATGTATATATATTTACAAATATATATATACAAATATATATATATATATATATAATTGGTGAAGGGGAAATATCTGGCTGTGCTCAGGGCTTATTCTTGTCTCTGGACCCAGGGGTAAGTAACTCTTGGTGGTGCTTGGGGGCCCTTCTGCAGTGCCAGAAATCAAACCCAGTTCGGATATGTGGAAGCAAATGCCTTCCATGCTGTACTATCTCTCTAGACCCTAGGCGAATATTGTAAAGCATTTCAGATTTATCGTCCAAGTGAAGCAAAAGTGAACATTCTATTATTATTGTTTCTTTGGAGTTCCTGCCCTGCAGTGTTCAGAGGCTACTCCCAGTTTGGTGCTTGGAGCTTGCTCCTGGCAGTGCTCAGGGGGTCCTGGGTGCCAGGAATTAAATTTATATTTCCTGCACTGCATGTACTCCAATCCCGTGAGCTGTCTTTCCAGACCAGATATTTCTGTTTGAAACCGTCAGTTTATAAGAGGCTTGATCCTGGGCTCGAGAGATATGCAGAGGTTAAGGCACTTGTCTTACTTTCTGTTGACTAGGGTTCAGTTCCTGGCATTGTGGGTGGTACATGAGTATCCCCAAGGGTGATCCCTGACCATTGATCTCAGAGTAAGCCCCGAGCACCACTGGATGTGGCCCCAAAATTAGTTAAACAAAGAAAAAAGAGCCTAGTCACATTAACTAGCACCATTCTCCATTAGGCTACCTTTGTTGTGTGTGTGTGTGTGTAATTTTTATTAGTGAAACACCATGAGGTACAGTTGTAGATTTACAAATTTTTGTGCTTGGGTTCTGGAGCCACCCCCTGCGGTGTTCAGGGCTGACTCCTAGCTCCACACTCAGGGGACTATATTCTGTGCTGGGGATCAAACTCAGAGTATCCACAGGCAAGACAAGCTCCTTGCTGAAATGGCATCTCTTAAAGAAAAAAAAAAAAGAGATTCATTAAGCTCTTCATTCAAATATAAAATCCTTATTTTCTATTTCTGTTTCATACTATGTAGAGTCCCAGGGATAATGCCTCTGTAGGTGCAGTGCGTTAGAGTAGGTGCACACATGTGTTGAGTAATCATGTGGAGGATTAGTAACTGCCATGGTTTGCTGAAATGGCTTCTTCATCTCTCCTGGGAGCTGGCTTGGGGCTCAGGAATGCACTTTGATGTCCGTCTCTGGAACTGTCCATGGGTTCTCACCCACTTACCCAAGTGTGGTGCCTGCCTTGGAGGATGGTTACTAGTGCATGAAGGGCAGAAAGGGGGCCCAAGTGAGAGTATAGCAGGTAGGGCATTTGCCTTCTGTGGCTGACCCGGATTCGATCCCTGGCATCTCATATGACCCCATGAGCACTGCTGAAAGTGTTCCCTGAATACTGAGCCAGGAGTAAACCCCTGAGCACTGCTGAGTGAGGCCCCCAAAAATAAAAAGAAAGGGAGGGAGAGAGGGAGGGAGGAAGGAAGGAATGAAAGGAAGGGAGGGAGGGAGGGAGGGAGGGAGGGAGGGAGGGAGGGAGGGAAGAAGGCAGGCAGTACTCAAGTGTACGTGTGTGCCTGTTTGTGTAGTTTTTGTGTGTGTTTTTTTAGGAAGCAAGTATAAATGTCTCAGTGATGTAACTGATTCTTTATGTTGAGTTAGGACTATAATTTTATTTAGTGAATTTATAGTGCTTTTTTCCTATTAATTTCCCCTCCCCTACTTCCTTTCATAGTCGTTGTTGATGACCCAGAGTCATACATGCCCAGGCACCCTCAGATTGTGGGCTAACCAGGGCCACAGTCAGGCTGTGTGCTCATATATGTGGCCAAAGTGCTCTCAAGTCAGGTGTGCCTTTCATCCTAGCACTTTACACGTGCTTTCCAGACATCCCACTCTTAGCCAAGACGCATAGGCTGTGGGGCATGCTCATTGCACAGCTCCAACGTGTGCTCACCAGGGTCTGTACTTCCTGGCTGAGGTGCTCACACCTTTGGCTACAGTGCTCTTCTGACACATGCTCTTCTTGCTCTGCTGGGCCTGGAAGTTGCTGCTCTCCTGGGGAGCACCAGCAGCCGAGCTGCCAGGACCGGTTCTGTGCCTGGGGAATACCAGGGAACTAGGATCACCGCTTGCAGGGCAGGAGCCTGCAGCCCCAACACTGTTGCTCAGGGCCGAGGCTGTGATTTTAAGTTATGTTTGGTTTTGTAAAAGGACCCTTCCCAAGCTACTTAATTTAGCTCTCTCTGCTCAAGGACACACTAGGCCTGCGGGAGGCCAGGTTTGAGTGTCAGCATTATGTGGTCCCCTGTATCATTGCCAGGGTGACCTCCCGAGTACCAAACTGGGGCTAGTTCCAGAGCATGGCCAGGCATGGCACCCCAACTAACGCTACCCCAAAACTCATGTTGGGAGGTAATAAGGTAGTGTTAAATAGCTTAGCCTAAGCTTCAATCTTGTAGCAAAAATAGGAGCTGTGTTTTGCTATATGTAACGCACCTGAAAATACTTTTTCCTCTAAGTTGTGTTTGGCTGTATTTCTACTTGGCTAAGTATTATGCTGAAGCATTTTCTAGTGATTCCTTTATACTTTTTGTTTAGGATTCATTTCATACCTTGAAGAAATGGGTGAAAGAACTGAAAGAACATGGCCCAGAAAACATTGTAATGGCCATTGCCGGGAACAAATGTGATCTCTCAGACATTCGGTAAGACGCATTACAAATGTGTGTATGCATGTTGGTGTGTATGCATGTTTGTGTGTGTTGTTAAGAGCCTCTATCCTTTAATGTACATACATAAATTCTCATGCCTGTATTGTTTACTGTCTGCATAATGATTTAATCAATGACTCAACCCAACTAGAGTTCCAAGAACAGGTCATGGTGATAGTTCAAAGGGTAGAACACATATGTAGCAGGTCCTTGGCTAAGAGCTCAATCCTCCAAATACATGGAGCCCCAAACACTGCTGGGCATAGCCTTGAGAGCTGTTAGAATTAATATTATATATATAATATATATTATATATATTTACTAAATTAAATATTATATATATGTAAAAAGGAAATAGTAGATTTATGTCGTCTCCATTCCCCTGGTTAATGTAATTCTCAGGAATCCCAGGATTGGTTTTCATAAAGACAATAATATAGTACTTCAAGCTCTGCTAATCCAAATATGATTAAACCAAAGTGAAATAAACAGCTGTTAGGTGTGGCCTGTGCCCACCCCACCACCCCACCCTCCGCCGCCCTGCTGGCTGTGGTTCCTATTTAAAAAAAAGAAAAGAAGGGGCCAGAGCAGTAGTACAGCAGGTGAGCTGCTTGCCTTGCACACAGCGGACCCAGATTTGAGCACCCGTATGGTCCCCCGAACCCACAAGGAGTGATTCTTGAGTACAGACCCAGGAGTAACCCCTGAGCATCGTCGTATGTGGTCCAAAAACGAAATATTAGAGTAATTTAAAAATGGCGGGCAGTCTTCTGATAAAAATAAAATAAGATCTCCCACCAGAGCAGTTATGTACCTGGCTCAGATGTCGTTGGGAGAGATGCTTCTATAGTTTCACTGTTACCTTCTCAGTTAGTTTTGCCATTAGAACTATTTTCACCCTCTCAGCATTACTTCCATATGTCAGGGAAGGTTAGAATTCTTAGCATTTTTCATGGCCTTCTTATTTTAATTCCAAACTTGTAGCTTGAGATCGTAGCCAGGTCTATTTAATCTCTCTACTGTGTCCTGTTAATTTTGTTTGAGTCCACACCTGGCAGTGTGCAAGGGCTTGTCCTGGCTCTGTGCTCAGGAGGGACTATGGTTCTGGGAGTTGAGCGAGGCTCCTGGTTGAGGCGATCGTGAGCAGAGCAAGTGCCGTAGCTCCTGTGTTGCCACTTTAGCCCTTCGCTATTGTGTTCCAGTTGGAGTATAAGAAATAAGATCTGCACATTCGGCTTCCCAGAGATACCGGATGGTTGAATTTTCTTTACCTTTAGAGAGAGGTTTGTAAGGATTTTTTTCCACGTGATCTGGAGATTTAATGACAGTCCCATCTTGCCTGATGGGCCAGATATTTTTACTAAATTAAATATTATATATATATATAAAGGAAATAGTAGATTTATGTCGTCTCCATTCCCCTGGTTAATGTAATTCTCAGGAATCCCAGGATTGGTTTTCATAAAGACAATAATACAGTGCTTCAAGCTCTGCTAATCCAAATATGATTAAACCAAAGTGAAATAAACAATGAAAATAGATCTTGCAAAAGCTTTTAACATGACCTTTGGCAAATTGCTTTGTTTCTTTGAGATTTCACAGCTTAATATCACATTGCATTGGGTTGTTGGGTTGGTGTATAATAACAGCCATAAACACCACTTAATCGTTTGTTTTTCTGGGGGCTAGCCAAGTCTTTAAACTTCCTGGACTTAGTTCATGTAACTGCCTTTTTTCCTGTAATCCAAAAAAAAACAGGTGGGTTAGGATAATTCCCAGTAGAGCCACTTTAAATTTTGTCATTGGAGGAAGTTGGAACTAGGGTGTAGAAACAGCTTTTGCTGAGAGAAGGTACCGGGGCCTAACACTGTGGGAATGTGGTTAGGCTGTGTCTTTAAGCTAAACTAAGTCTTATGTATTGTGGAAGAGCTGGGAAACTAGAATTTAAGCAGAAAACACTGTAAACTTCAGTGGTATTGGCTTGGTTATGTGAACTGAAACCAGTCTTAATTTCAGTAAGAAGGGGAATTGATGGGGAGTTATGCTCCGTGACTGGTTCATTGCCTTCAGCCCCAGCATTTGATCGGTTCCATCTTTCCTCTTTCTTGGTCTGGCACGTTTTAATTCTTGTCTAAATTGGTATGGGAGGATTTCCCAGCATCCCAACAAGGCATGAAATGGCTAAAGATATGTGGGTGGCACAGGATGATTTTCTTCCTTCAGACCTTGAGGAGGGAAAGTGGGAGGTCTTGTAAAGGGAAGAAAGTACAGTTGGGAGCCTTTTGCTCTAGTCCAGCGGGGAGGGCACTTGCCTTGTATGTGGCTGACCCAAGTTTGATCCTCAGAAACCCATATGTCCCCTGAGCACCACCAGGAGTAGCCCAGGAGTGGCCCTAGGACTCCAAGCACTTCTGGGTAGGGAAAAATGAACCAAAAACAAAGACCCTAAACATGCAATTTATATGGTCCAGTAACCACACTGTTAGGTGTTCATCCCAGAGAGCTGAAAACTTACAGTCACACCAAACCTGTACATGAATATCTATAGATGCTTAATTTGTAATAGAATGAAACTGGAATCAGTCTAGATGACCTTGTAAAGGTAAAGGTTAGTGACTAAATACAGACTGGTACGTCTACACTGTGGAATACTACTCAACACTGCCAAGAACAAACTACAACATGCAACTTAATCCCCCCACTGCAGCGAGGAGGCTACCACATCACCAGGGGAATCATGCTAAGTGGTGAAAACCAATCCCAAAGGTCTCATGGTGTATGATTCCATTTGGTATTGTGGCATTATTCTTTCTCTCTCTCTCTCTCTCTCTCTCTCTCTCTCTTTCTCTCTCTCTTTTGTTTTTGTATTAAAGAATAGTGATTCACAAAGTTACCAATAGTTGAGTCTTAGGCATACAGTAATTCAACACCAATCCCTTCTCTGGTGTCACTTTTCCTCCACCAATGTTCCCAGATTCCTCCTCACCCACCCATGCCCGTCACCTTGACAGGCACATTACAGAGTCCAGTGGCTGCAGCTTAGTGGTTTCAGTTTTGTTGAGTCTGTGTTTTAGGTATATGGCTCTACCCTCACTCCTATCACTGGGATAACTGAAGTCCTCATACCTGTTCACTTGTTATTTCCAGTTCTCATGACTTTTTCCTTCTCTCTAAACACTGAGTTTGAGGATGATTTAAGCATTCTGGTGCTTTTTTCCTCATCCAGATTCTGTATAATACAGATAAGCAAGATTATCCTGTCTTTGTCCTTCAGCTTCTGCCTTTTTTCACTCAACATGATATCTTCCAATTCTAACCACGTTGCAGCAAATTAAATGATTTCATCATTCTTTGCAGTTTCATGATGTTCTGTCATGTGCATGCATGGTGTGTTTTTTTTAAATGCCCAGTTGGCCAGGTGATTCAGTGCTCGGGCCACCAGAGTCATACCCAGTGATTCTCAAGACATCAAAGTGCTAGGGATTGGGTCAGGAGTATGCCTTGCACATGCCTATCCCTGTCTATATCCACCATCCCTAGACTGTTTTAAAAATGAAAACAAATTAGAAATACAGTACAGATTAGTTGTTGCCAGCAATTATGGCGAGAGAGTGGTGTGGGTGAGGGGTGGGAAGGCAAGTAGGCATGGATATTAAAGGGCTGGAAAGACACTTCAGCAGGATGAGCACATGTTTTGCATGTAAAAAGCCTGGGTTTGATCCCCAGCCCTGTGTGGTCCCCTGAGCACTGTTGGGAATACCCCCAGAGCCAGAGTAGCCCCGAGCCCTGATGAGGTGTCCAAAAACAAAAGTTTGGGATATTGCAGCTACACAGTATCTTCTCTGTGGTGGGAGACATGCAGATGAACATGGTGATCAGATTGTGCAGAATAGAACATGCATGTGTAGGAGCACTAGAGAAGAGGGAGCTCTGAGTAAAAGAGCGTGTGGACATCAATCCTACAAAACGTTTCCTTTGGAAAAACCTGGGGAAAATGTACAAGGGCTGTATTGGTATTGTTTTTTATGACTACCTCCAAGTCTACAATTCTTTCAGTAAGAATTTCGGTCAAGAGGGCTGGAGAGATAGTACAGTGAAAAGGAGCTAGCATATCCAGTTCACTTCTCAGCACCATGTGCAGTCCCCTGAGACCTACCAGGAGTGACCCCTGAGCACAGAGCCAGGAGCAAACCCCAGGCACCACTGGCCCAAATTCAAAGGTGATCAAAGGGAACCTGGGGACACTGGTACTAGGAAATGTATACTGGTGGAGGGATGGGTGTTGGAATATTGTATGACTGAAATCCAATTTTTAACAGTTTTGTAAGGGTCTGTCTCACAGTGATTCAGTAAAATATGTATATATATATCCACACATACATACATATATTATAGGCACACATATAATATATGATTGACTAAATTTTTGTAATCACACTAGGCCAAATAGTATGTTTAGCTAGTCTTAGTAAATCCAACAGGCAAAAGAAGAACAGAATAACTATGTTAAGAACTTTCAGGGGGCTGGAGATTACAGTGGGTATTGTCTTGCCTTGCACAAGGCCAATTTGGGTTCCATCCCCAGCACCCCCTATAGTCCCCTAAAGTCCATTCCTTGCTTGTGTCACGTCCTGGGTTTGATCCCCAACACTACAAGAAGAAAAGATAGTCCAGGACCATCCTTTGCAAAGCATTGCCTTAGGTGACAGGAGTTTATGGGGGGGGGAAGGGGAATGAAGTATCCCCGGACTTCAGTGCAAGTCTCTGTCCACAGATCACAGCAGCCCCCCACTTCCCCCAGACCTACCTGAGTAAAGCAAGGCACTGCTTTATTCACTTTCAAGATGCAGAATTACCACCACTGACCCCTCGTCCTGTCTCTCTTCACAAGCAGTTCCATTCTCCATTCTCTGGCCAGTTTCTTATGTTCTTAGTGTTTGGTTGCATGTTTTTTAAGGGTTTAGGTTTTGGAATTTCACCCAATGGTGCTTGGG